GGACATTATGTAAATTTATGCAATGCTGTCTAGGATGATGAGTAGACAATCTGTATGAGAGTGAAGTGGTGAGAAAGATCAATGAAGTTCATAATAGATGCTGAGCCACTGGCAGGTCAGAAGTGGTAGGAGAGAAAGTACAATACAGGCAGGAAAATGGAACAGAGCTTAAACTCCAAATCAACATCTGTAAGCCTTTCCCTAGAACAACCTCCAGGAAGCAGAAAATATGAAATAGAATACAGCTTGGAAGACTATAGGTTTTTAAAGCTTCTGTGAAAGAATTAGGAGACAAACAGATGTAAGCAATCTGAGTTTTAATAGCAGCAGGTGAAAAGAATGCATAAAAGAATATAGGAATAACAGATCACTAGGAGGCTTGCCAGTGTGTGAGAAGCATAGAACCATTTAAGTTGCAAAATGACCTTAACATCATTGAGTCCAACCATTAACCTAACACTACCAAATCCAGCAAGCTTGTTATCTTGACAAATCTAAAATTTTCACACACACAAAATGCACCAGGGAAACCTATGATTCACTGTTCATCCTACCTCAGTGAAAAATAATCATGACCCATAGTCTGGTTAGGTATTTCATAGGCCTCTGGCCATGTTGGACCTCATAGTAACGTAGCTCTGTGAAAAGAAGCAAATACTTTTGCATGCAGGGGATGTAATGTCCTAATGCTTTGCTCAAACAGGTCTAAAATAAAAGAGAAGTTAGTGGCATTCCCTTACTCTTAGACAAAATGAGTTATATTTATGTAACACATGCATAGGGTTGAGTTTTAATGTATCCTATGTGTGATGTAAATCAAACTGGAACCTACTATTTAATTACATCTTTCTTATCTTTTTTTCAATCCAAACCATCCAGAATGGTCTAAGAGCAAAGTGAAATGACAAGCAGTGCTAAGTAGCTAATATCGACAAATTAATTTCATGCCTCTACTGTGTTAAAAAAACTTAATACTATGGTTAATGACTTCAAATTGGGGTAACAGTCAAATATGGAATGGAGTATTGCATTCTTCATTCATGAAAAGATGCTTGAATATTGATAAATATTTAGGAGACTAGAAAACTGCATTCCAAAAAGGCAAAAAAGCTGATGTTCAGCTTGTATAGTACAGCTATGACAAAGAGAAATTCCCTTTTTGTACACAGTTCTGAATTAAGATAACATTGGAAGATGGAAGCCATTGCTGCTCGTAGATACCTCTCACTCAAGATGATATAGCTTCCTGCTCTTCCAGCTTTTGAAATCACACATGAGACACCGACAGATACATTAAAAAAATGCTGTTCAGGGTCAGACCATCAAGTCCAGTTTTCTGTCTCCAACAGTGATAATAGGAGAAGCTGCACAGGGAGAATGTACAGGACTGGACACTTTCTACAGTCTATCTCCTTCACCAACACCTACAATTATTTTGCTAGAGGTGTAAGAGGTAGATCTATGCTGAGTGCTTTTTGTATCTATTTATGGACCTATTGTCCATGTGTTAGTCTTAGTCCCTTTTTATAAATTGATATTCACTGCTTCTACAGAGTCTCATGGCAGCAAATCCCATAAATTCACTATCTCTTTCCCTTTAACTGTTTTAAAATAGACACACACTTTTTGCACTGAGCAGTTTCTACTTGTGCTGCAGGATTTAATGAATAACAGCTCTGCATTCAGTTTGTGCACTGTTTACAGTTGCGTAAAACACAGTTATAAACCATCAATCCTAAGTTCCCTGCTTTCCAAACTGAAGAGCCAAGCTGTTTTAGTTTCCCTTCACAAAGTACATTCTCCATCCCCCTAACCACTTCAGTTGCCCTTACATGTACTTTCTCTAATTCCGCTATATTTTCTTACTAGAACCAGAACTGTACAAAGTACAGTCTAACCTACAGCACTAAAAGGTTTTCTTTTATAAAGATTGTTTCAGCATAGAAGACAAAATCAAAAAATTGTTAAAAATAAAAGCATTTTTCTGTGCTTAAAAATGCTTTACTGTCATTTTTTTCTTTTCATCTTTAGAAATAATCCAAAAGGGCTTTCTTTACTCAATTGTGATCACTTACACAGGAATTTCTGTGAGGCAGACCAAAGTGTCTTTGTACTCAAAATCCCAGACCTAGTTTAATTGCTTATTATAAAAAGATGGGGTAATGTTAACATCTTTGACTTGCAGCATCTGTTTACTGGAATTAACACATCCCATTGAAGAATGCCTGATGTGATGCTTATGAGGTAAAAAATAAAAAGAAAAAAAAGGAGGAAGACATTTATTTCTCTTTCCTCAAACACCACTCCTGAAATGCTAAGATAAAGATTTAATACTCCTCTGTTAATGAGCTTTCCCTACGATGTCCCAATAAAAATGCTGCCAGTTAATTTAGACAAAATAATTATTCTGTTGGGGCCATTTCCATACTCCACATTATGTAATGTTCCACTGAGACAAAGAAGAGAGACAGCAGTTCAAATCTATTACATCAAACTTGGGTTTCCTAACCCTGAGGGCTGTTCAGCCACAAAACTAAAGGGTAAAAGATGAAACTTCACCTACAGAAATTTAAATATTTAACATGGAAAAATGGAAAATATTTGGTGAATTCAAACGAAGTCCATTGTAAGCTGCAAGTCATATTTTTTGGCAAGTGAATTATGTCTAAATGCCTCACTCAGTTTTAATGAGTTCCTTCTAGAAGTTTAAACTGCTATGAGAAATGTGGTGAAATGTCTATCTTTTGATATCTTCCAAGCCAAACCAAAAATTTTACAATTAACTAAGGTTTAGAAATGTTCCAACTATATGTAGAGGGAAAGGAATGCCAGAGCAATTGATTTCTTGGCTGCTTAGAGGGAGAAAGAGACAGACTGATGCAAAAGGAATGGAAAAAAAAAAAAAAGAAATCTGGGATGGAGAGAACAAAAAGATCTTTAGTACACTGCCTTGTAAAACCTGAACTACTGCCCAGGATTTCTTACTATGCTCAACAACCTTTCTGATTTAGGAGTGAAGTAGTTTTATACCCCTATACCACAGGACCAGGTACCACTATATCGATCAATCTGTATAATGTGTCAAAATTCACTATTTATAATATTCTAAAGCTTTAGTTGCTGAAAAGTCTTTTTAACTCTAAAGATTCCAGTCCTGCTAAAGTTGTTCAGGGGAGTCAACAAAGCTCTAGCCTGCCTTGTTCATGTTTTTGCTGCTTTAATACTGGAGAATTGCATTGAAAAAAGCTATGATGAAACAATGTCATATTCAACAGTCTGAGGCTAAGAAATGCAGCATCTAGATCTGTTTGTGCAATGTCCCTCTGCCTTTAAATGTATTTTTACCATCTTTGAGTTTCTTCCTTACACTTTTCATGCTTTTACCCTGAGCAGTACAAACGTTTGCACTGACTTGGTCCATTTGAACGTATGCTTCCTTTCAACATCTTATGTGAAATTAAACTGCAAACTAGAAAATAATTCAGATCTGCATGCATTTCTCATTATACAGAGAAATTGTATCTCACATTTCTGGGTGTTTTAAAGATTTTGAAGAAAAAATACAAACTTTTAGAAGATTGTATTAATGTGTTTTTGGGGCAAAATATTAAAGTCGTTACTAGGTGTTTCTAAAATACCTAATTCAGAGGCATACACAGCTCCAGTCTACAAGGCTACATAGGTCAGTGGTACAAATGTCCCCTGTGATGCTGAAACATGTGGTCCTACAAACTAAAACTCCTTTATTTTTCACCACAGTAAATTTTATTAGCAGAAGAGAATGAGATCCAGTTTAAAATAAGCTCTTAAGCAAAACTGTAACAAAAAAGTTCTGCATTAACAACAGCACACAGAAATGTAAGTTGTAAAGCAAAACTATAAATTCTGAATGTATTTAAAATAATCAATTTAAAATAAATATTTTTTCTATAATATTAGTATCAACAAGAATGTTTAAAAATTACAATTTGCCCTTGTGATTTTCAATTTAAATGCAATGAGATCTAAAAATGTCATATTTTAGAGTAAAAAAAGAGGGAAATTTAATATAAAATGGTAACTTTATTTTGTCATTTTATCATTAGAACATTCTGCCACTTCCACTGATATCTGCCTGACTACTGTCCTAGAGTGATTCTGTATCCTGGTGAAGCTGAATCACTAAAAATAAAAACATCTGCTAGAAAACGTGATTGATCACAGAGAAAGATTAATGAAACCTAAGAAAATGAGGAAACACTGAACCAGAATCAGAGAAAGAAACCCAAAATAGGATATTTTTTTTCTCTTCTAATGGGCAATATGCTGTATAAAAAATCTTTTGAATTAGCTTTTCATTGACTAATGGTAGTAGCTAGTAACAAGAAGATTGGGTTTTCCATCCAACCCTTTCGGATTTAGTATATTCAAGAGCTGATAATAATATTACTTATTTAACATTTGATTCTGCAAGGTGCTAAGCACTATGATCATCAGTGCACTTGCATTCTTAGGTAATTTTAAGCAGGCAAGTAGCCCGCATGAAAGCATCATCATGGCTTTTATAATCATATGATGAATCACATTATTGAATCCAGACAAGAATGTTCAGAACCTTGTACAATCAAGTTAAGGGCTTTATATGAAGTGAAAAGACAATGAAGACACCCTGAAGAGTTTATAACTATCAGTTTAAGGAATATTAATGTTTTTATTCAAAAAAATCCCCCTGAATGTCTGTGAACACATTTTCTTTCATATATCATCCTCTTCTGTTACTAATTCTTTGGATACTTTACTGCTGTTATATATCTGACTAGCTCTATTTTTTATAGACCCATAAAGAAAGGCAGTTGGGTCTTGTGGGAGTGGGGGGAGAAAAGGGGGAGCAGAGGAGGAGAGGGGATGGTGGTGATAAAATGTAATTCCTCCGAACACCTGCTGAGTTTAATTGCACTACAGCTGCTGCTGATTGTAAGTGGGAAAGGGAGATATAAGGCAGAGGGGGAGGTGGTGGTGTTACTGACTGATTGGCTGTCGTTACATCCAGTTTTATTGTCTTTTTTTACCCTTTCAGTATTATTCTTACAAGTTAAAAGAGTCTCTGAGTCTGAGGGATTAGGGACCTAAACCAAAGAGGAATCTTATGATCTGTGAGCAGAATGAGATGTGGTCTTTCCTGGATGAAGACATCTGAAGAGAGCATATGTGAACCTCAAGAGCAAGACTGATGATCCCAACAGACAAATTGCCACAGTATGCAGCATTCACTAGAATGAAAGGTTTATAGGTGAGATATTTAAAGAGGTCACCACGCCCAGAGTATGTGGGTCTGCAATGAAATAGAAGACAGTGCTCGAGATGAAGGAGCTGTGGTCATTCAAAGGGGATAGCAAACCATGCGGAGAAATTTTCAAGCAGGTTCTCATTCTGCAAGAACTTAAAGATAACAAAGTATGGTGGGTTTGTAGCATCAAGGCACTGTGGAATAAATCCCTGTTCACAAAATTGATAGAAATGAGTACTGAAATCTGGACTGCTGTAATCTGATAATTGCTGGGGACAAACTGCTCTAATGCAGAGAAGCATGATGCCCATGGTTGTGATACAAAGAATTTGTTTTGTAATGTGTCAAAGACATGACAGACCATTGCAACTGGCTAACTCCCTAAGAAAACAAAGCAAATCAATATTACTCATATCCCCACATTTTGGGTTACTTTGTAAGCTGCAAAGCTAAAAAATGCTACACTGATGTTAAGTAACTTTTGAAAAGTCTAGAGAGTTGTCATTCAGTGATAATAGATGTGGGAGGAAGAATTTCCTTCAATTTGGAGCCTGAAATACAGGTCTCTTAATTTTCGGAATTATAATAGGCAAAACGTAGGTTAAACATAGCAGTTGAATTTTTTTGAGAATTTACTTTATATGTATTTTTGACTATATAAATAAAAAACTATGTTTAAAATAAATAATTTTTGAGAAATGTTTACTCAAATAAAACACCTGTAGATGATTCAACTGGCTATTACAGGGAATATGATCTTAATTATAAGTGCCTGTGAAATAGGGTCAGTAATAAAATTCAAGCTGGGAGAATACAAATGTTTGTGATACACACAGTAAGAACACACATTGACATATAAGAGTACTAATTAATCAATTATCCAATTAAAAGGGAAGAGAAAAAAGATGGGATAATGTTTGCCTGGATTAAAAAACTACAAATAATATCTCCAATCCTAGATGAAAAGGGACCTTGAGCTGGCTTAAAGGACCTTGAGCCAGGTTTTCTACCACATGAAAATTTGACACACAGAAAAGGGAGATCTTTACGTCCTGTTATACAGCAAGAAAAGTCTAAGAGGTAGAAACTACGTGGCTGCAAACATTTTGCTCTCTAACATTCATTCTATTTGGTACTTTGATATCTAGCCAACCGTCCTGACAGTTTCAGTGTCTCTTCATTTGGCATCGTGTATCCAGCTTGTTTTAAACAGGCTAAGATCTCATTGGTGTTATTGAAGCTTTTGCAGTCTGTGTTTCCTATCTGATGTGCCTTTTAAAAGTTTTCAGGAATGAGTTCATTTGCCAAGTTTGAAGACATCTTTTCACCAATTACTTTAATAGGGTGTGATCTTGACTCTGATTTCACATACATGTACATGTAGAGTCACAAAATATTATTAATAAATGAGCTGTCACTCTTTTTTGCTGAACCCATCATTGAATCCATTGTTTGCATACTGGTGTCCTGACTGCAACCTAGAAAGAGACACACAAAATGCAAAGCTTTCTATTTGAGTAATGCTAATTAGAATTTTAAAATTTTTTTATATGCTGAACCAACTGATCAAAACCATTGAACAATTTCTATCATTCCATCCTCATTAAGGTTGCCATTCCAAGTACAATTTATCTGCCCTGCTTTGATACTAAAACTAATTAATTTTGAATTAAATTGATTTCTTAACCTACATATTGACTAGTGAGGAAATACAGGAAATGTAAAGAAATCAAACATTTTCATTTGCCACTATAAATATCGAAATTCTGACAGTTCTCAGCAGTTATAATGAATGAAGAAAGAATATTTTTAGTCTGGGAACTATGTGGACTATGGAACAAAATGTTCTATTTTTTAATACAGCTCTCCAGCATGCAAGCTTCTTGTTGAGACCCTTAACATAGATTGTTTATCTTTCTCTCTCTTTGATCAGTCTAATTAAAAGCCCTCATTACGTGTTGTTTTCAAGAGACATAATAGCATCCCTAGTCCACAATGCAAATGAAAAGCTTTTTGTTCATAATGTATTAGTTTTTCATGCTTGCTCCTTACAAAAAAAAAAAAAAAAAAAAAAAAAGAAAGAAAAAACCACACTAAAATCAACAACAACAACAAAACAAACTTCCTCAGACTTTGGAAGTCAAAAGCTTACTGAGGAGCAAGCACTATGAAGACCTGAGAAATCCTTTTCTGATGTTGGCAAAAACTCTACTGAAAACTTACTCTCTTAATTGCTAAAATAAATTAACAAAAAAGAGCACTTACATTAATAATTTATGAACATAGAGGAAAGGAGATTGCAAAATTTTTCTGGACAGGATGCTTTACTGCTGGACTGCCATAGAACCTTAGAGTCACATAATCATAGAATTATTTCTATTGGAAGGGACATTAAAGTCATCTAGTTCCAACCCCCCAGCCATAGGCAGGAACATGTTTCATGAGGCCAGGTTGGTCAAATTCCCCTCCAACCTGACCTTAAACACTTCCAGAGACTGGGACATCTATGGCTTCCCTGGACAGCCTGTTCCAGTATCCCATGACTGTCATCATAAAGAATTTCTATTAGGTGCCTCCAAAGCTATCTCTTCTCCAAGCTGAACAGGCAAGTCCAGTCTCTGACCAACTGGATCACCTCCCACTGAACTCACTCCATAATCAGAATCTCTCTTGTAGTTCCAGGGTGAGCGTGGGGAGGTGGAAGCAGTACAATCTGCACAATTCTAGACTACATCTTACAAATACCAAGCAAATAATCACACCCTCATCTACTGGCTGTGCTTCTGCCAGTACAGCCCAGGGTTCTATTGGTTGCCTTCACCGCCAGGACCTGCTGCAGGCTCGCATCCAACTGACAGTGAAGAGCCACAGATCTTTCCCAGCAGAGCCACTCCCCAAGCAGTCCCTCCCCAGCCTGTATCAGTGCAAGAAATTCTTCCTTCCCACGTGCAGAACTTTCGTCTTTGTCCTTGCTGAGTATCACAAGGAATGTCTTTGTCCATTCTTTTGGCCTGTCCAAGTCACTCTGAATGGCAACCCTTCCTGAGTTCACTTACCTTCCTGAGTTGACTTATCCACCCAGTTTTGTGTCATCTGCTGACATGGTGAACAAGCACTCTATTGCTTTCTCTAGGTTATTGATAAAGAAGTTAAACAAAATGGATCTCAGTACAGAATTTCATAATTCTCCAGTTCCTGGTCCCCACTACCAGCCTATACATCCAGTTTTTTAGCTATTTACTAGCCACGTGTCTGGACTGCAATGTTATAAGTTGAACATGAGAATATTCTGGAAGACAGTGTTAGTAGCCTTCCCAAATTCAGGATAAATTGCAACTATTTCTCTTCCTTTATCCACAAATACAGACACTTAAATATGGAAGATGATCGGATTGATCAGGCATGATCACCTTCTCTAAACCTTGCAAACTTTCCCTAGTATTGTTCTTCTTTGGGTTCCCAGAAGTGTGTTACAAGAGGACTTGCTCCATGATTTTTCTAAGGATTGAATAAAATTAAATTAATTAAATTAAAATAGTCTGTAGTTCCCTAGATATTTTTTATGCTCTTGTTTGCAGATTTTTAGAACATATTCTTTCTTCTAATCTTTGGATATTTCTCCTAAATTTTATACTTGCCAGATGACAGAGGATTATCTTGCAAGGACGTCAAGCAGTTCTTTCAATGTGCTTATATCCAGCCCATCAGTTCCCATGAATTTTATGTGTTAAGTTTTCTCCGGTTATCACTAACTCACCCACTGATGATACTTGTTGAATTCTTTTATTAATCAGAGAGACCAGGGAGACTGAAACAAGGATAATATTGAGTACTTAAGTCTTATGTATCTGCTGTTGCTAAATCACCCACTCCATTTAGCATTGGACAATCTTTTTGTTCAATCTTTTGTTCAATCTCCTTGTTCAATCTTCTACAATATAGCATTAGAAGTTCTCTGGTTGTCACAAGGCTGAACTCCATCTGCATTTTGGCTTTCCTGACACTATCCCTACACTGGTTGGGCAACATTTTTAGATTCCGCTGTTGAATTCTGTCCCTTTTTTGGTCCCCTGTGTTCTGCTTTTAGAGGTTGGAGCACTATCAGGAAAATCCTGCTTAGCCAAATAGGTCTCCTGATACATCCACACATCTGTTTGAGTATCAGGACTGTTCTTACACCTGAGGATAATGCTTTCTTGAGTGCCCTTACCTTTCAGATCTGTCTTCAAAAGGATTGTATCAATTCTCTGTATAAGGTGAATATTTATAATAGCAAATATCTAACTGGGGAGGGCATAATTCCCACAGATTGCCCGCTGCAAGGCCTATAATTTTAAAATATGCATTACTTAATTCTAAAATTATGTTATAAATGTGTGTTTGCATTAAAATTTAACAATGTGAATATTACTTCTAGCTATTCTTTTGGAAGCATCCCGCATAGGTATTTATGATAGAGATACCTAAATCAGAATCAGTCACATAAATTCCCTGTATGGCCAATGAAGAAAAGTAAATTGCTCTGAAAGACAAATTGTTAGTCTAAAAGAGGCAGCCAAAATAATCCAGAAATATGGTCTTGTGGTATCTCTCTTTCCTTATTGTCGTTGAGTAAGAAAACTAATTCATGTTGCCTCTCTTTCCTTATTGTCTTTGAGTAAGAAAACTAATTCATGTGTAGACAGTCACTCGGTATGATGAACCTTCATGCAAGTTATACACCTTTAAGAAAACAAAAGAATGTGTCATAATAAAGTATAAATATGCTCTATACACATTTCTTCCCTTTCTTTGACACTATTGCAAAATTCATTTCTAATTACTTCTACTTTTTACTGAATTTGTTTGGGAAATACACCTGGAGGATTTTTCCTTCAGTCAATTTTTTTTACAGAAGTTTCTCTCTGAAAATTACCTAGGCATTAACTGGACCACAGTTTAAGTTTTAACTTTATTGTTTTGCTAATCTATTTTTAAAATGTTACTGACATAAAAGAAACAAAAATAATTAATGTATAACAAGCATCCTTAAAGGTATCCATAAACATCTTTAGAAAAGGCTGAAAAATTATTTTTACCTCTTGAATTATCTTAATATGAAAAAGACACCAGTGGGAATTGGTGACTCTTGGTTTGTTTGGGGACATGGATTATTTTTAGCAAGGAGAGTTTGCCAAGCATAGCAGAACCGGAAATAAAGTCTAATGAAATTTTGAGCTGCAATGTAGGCTAATGATACTTGAAAGTGACATGGTTATATCTCAACAGGATAGCACTGGCTTAGCCTAAATGTCAGGAGCTTGACAGGCAAGTATCATAAAGATACATATCAGTCACCTCCAGTGCAAGAATAAGTGATGAGCATTGTCAAGAATGCCCTTCATTTTTCCTTGGCAATTAAAGCAAACAGGGGCCCCAATGTCTGCTCTGCTGTTCCATTCACTTTCTCCTATCTAAGCACTTGCTGTTTCATTCTCTTGATTAACAAAACAGTAAAGTGAAGATAAGAAATGAAGAAGAAAGTAGTTGTCTTCTCACTTCAGTGGTACTGACCCATTTTTTTGCATAGATATATGAAAGGAAAATTGTGAAGTTCCAGAGTGCTTACAACCTTGTTATTTTTTCAACACTGCTCTACTTATATTCAAAGTTTAATAACCCTGTAACACTGACTGTGACAACAAAGTGGTCATTTCTGGTCCATAACCTAATCCTCACCATCATTTCTGCCCTGAGCAGCTGAGATACATAAACCATGGAGGAAAGTCAGCAGTAAGTTCCTTATCAGAGAGGAGAGCAAGGTGAAAATCATGTGAGCTTCATGTGAAAACTAAGGAAGCAAGACTGGGAAAAAGAAATAACCAGAAGAACTAAAGGCTAGGAAGAAGCAAAGAAATGAGAACTGCCACAAACTGAGAAGTGAGAATACCAGCCAGTTGTCTGAATCAACAGCCAGCTTGTTTCAAACACTGTTCTCCCAGTGAGAGCTCATGTGCCTGGAGCTGTGTGAAATCAGAGGCACATTGCCAGGATGGCAAGGAACTGCCTTCATGCAGCCTCCTACCTCAGTTAAATGTTCCCTCCTCCTGTTGTCTTACAAGGGAATAGGTAGCTATAACACTGGATTACTGCCAAAGTCAAGGTGTATGCATCACCCTGGCAAACTGTGATTCATTATAGCCAGGAGCAGGATGCACAGTAGATGAGCAGCATTATTTCTAGCCAGAGCTACTCACTGGCTGATAATGAGAACAGTGCCTTAGGGGAACTCAGCTGATTTTCTTTTTCCAGTTTCTGCACCAGCCTGATTCCTTCCTACGCTGCCAACTATGGGCAAAGAAGAGATGATTCTTGCTCCCATGACTTCATGCTTGATTTAACCCACAAACCAAAGTGCCCCAAGGCTCTCCAAGTTTGGCTTACTAACTGTTCTTGCAATTACGTGTAATGTGTTCCAATGGTTCAGTTTTCTCAAAGCCAGGAAAAGGAAACCTCCACAGAGCCCATCCACTCAAGCAAGCCTATCGCACAGATAAACATGATCTCACTGAAAAAAGCAAAGAAGGCATCTGGCCCTACACACACAAATCTAAGAATGTAAACAGATTCTTGCCTGCCAATCTCTCCTTACAGGAAATTGTCTCCAGCATAGACCCTTGCCAACAAATAGAAAAATGGAGATGTTTTAGAACAGGCAATCAAAGCCTGGAAGCATCAACAGTGTTCCACTGGCTTGAAAGGCTTTAACTGCTGGGACAGTCTCGCTGAATCTATTATCCGCATCTCAGACACATTCTACATGTTCGTTTTCAAATACCTAATGGAAAACAAAGGACAATTAAAAATGGGTAGATCTTTTGTGCACCTGACCATCAGCTAATTTCAGCTTATTCTGTAGATATTTTGCAGTTGCTTGGGTAATAGTTTAAGAGTTTTTTGGCTTCTGACCAAAATTAGGGTTATCATGGTTCATGATAGCAAAAGATCAATAGCAACAAATCACATTTGTAATGACATTACTCACATCAGTTAGTCTTTGATCATCAATGAAAACTTTTAACAGTTATTAAGATTTCTTGGAAATTTTTTGGCCAGAGAGACCACTTTAAACCTGGTGCTCCATTAAAATTCACTAGGTCTGGAATTCAATTATACGTCTACTCTGCAGCCTGAGAAGGATAGGAAAAAAAGGTGTGGCATACCTCATTCAAGAGGATATACCATATTTAAAAAGCTATGAATAAATACTGTGGTTTTACTGAGTCTTATGACAAATAACACCTCTTTCCTTAATTTTGGTTTTCAGCATTTTCTTTGTGGATATGTCAAGCCAATATATCCATGCAAAACTACTTGGAGAAAACTAATAGCTCTCAGGCCTTGTTTTTTTCCTCTGGTTATATTTATTCAAGAGAAATCTGCTGGCAGGAGGATGCTTTGTGTCTGAAACTAATTCTGCATAGGTTTATGTGAAACTTACCTTCCTCATACCATATTTCTTACAGCACTGCTGGACATTTCACATCTACTATATAGCTTTATGCAGTTCTGTTTTCCAGATTTTGAATCAAAAATTCTTGACCTTGAAATACTTCAGAGCAAGCAGTTTTTGCTTGCTGCATGAATGCTTTTGTTATCACTAAGCATTTCACCAGCTGCCTATTGATAAACAATTGACAACTACTCATGGCCACTTAATGAGATTGGTTAATGAGAATACTTTGCTATTGCTCCTGCAGATTTTACAATCACATGATAATTTGATTAGTTCACTGATAAGGGATATATCTATTTCTTAGAGATAAGCATTCCAACTGAGTAAAGTAAACCCTGTGACTCAACAAGAGCAAAAATGTAGTAGTAATTTGAATTGTAGTAAGAGGACAGGAAGAAATTGTATGAGGTTTCTTATTAAATAAATAAATAATTTAAACCCTTCAAAGAAAAGAAGATATGACTTAGAAATAAATTAATTCCTCTATAAAGTAGGAAAGCCTGTTGTGCCTGACGCTCTTAAAATAGGTAATGATAAATAAATGAAGATTATTATGTTGTGAAATGATACCCAAGGTAAATAAATGTGGAGGGCAGGTAGTGGGGAACCTAAAGTTAAATTCCAAATCTCTTCAGTGACCCAATGCAGGCAAGTGGTAAAAGAGAGGATTTTTTTCACAATGAAATGACTTTGAATATGGCTTGAAATTGAGGTCAGCAACTTCATGCAGGGGTTGCAATTATCTTAACAGGTCCCAATAACTGTGTTTGAGTTTTGGCTGAGTTTTCATAACACAATATCATCACAATTCTGAAAAGAATTTAGAAGATTTCCATGATACTGCCTTGCTTTTCTGCTCAAGAGTAATATATATTTCCTTTGGTCTCATTCTCTCTCCTGTCTTTTACCCTGGAAACATGCTCTAATCCTTGCAATCTTTTAAAATAAATGGATATGGTGAGATCTTCTCAATCTTCTGTATAATCAATAAAAATTCTGGAACTTGGTTTAAAAGAAATTTAGGTGGAATTTTCAAGGTGAAATCCTTCTCCTGGTGAAACTGATTAGAATTTCTTTCACTTCCTTTTAGGGGTCATTGTTTTACCTTTATTTCTATAATTCTCATGTCAGGGATGGTTCTTCATAAGAGAGGTATGAACAATGCACCTGCTTTCCTTGTTTAATTGCTAGAAGAAAAGAGTCTTGGTCTAAGCATAGATTACCTAAGTGACATCTCCATTCAAATAACAGTACCATATACAAATAAATTAATATTCAATTTACAGTATTATTGAATTTTTTATACCTAGTATGTATCACTTTCTTTAGGTCATGTTGCCTATTAGATTGTTTTCAAACAAAATGTTGATTCTGCGCCATACTTCATTACTTTTGTGCCCAGTTCTCCTTATTCTGATTACTAGCTGCTTACGAGTTCTACCTGCTTCTCATCCCTGCTTTTCTGTAGCGGAATTGATGACAGAACCTTATGGACCTCCATCCTAGGTGACTATACCTGTTTCCCAGCCTGATGCCCTATGTTCTCAAAAAAAATAAAGTACAAATTGAATCTTAACTGGATTATGCCTGCTACATTCTTACAAGTTCAGACCACTTACATTGAAGTCATTGAGAAATAATTAAGCACTCCATGTCTCATAACAAAAATATTCATCCATGAAAGTACAGGTAAAACAGCATAATAGTGTAGTTCATAAACCATCTTTAAAAACAAGATTTTTAGTTGCCAATACCAAACTCTTTCACAAACTACTTCCTGCTTCAGGGTCTCTTGCCAGGGTAATGAGATGCTCCATCATGAAGTTATATATAATTCTGTCAAAATAACTTTAGAAAGTATATAATTTTGAATCATTGTTGGAAGCAGAGACATGAGCAACTGCAAATGTGTTCTTCTAAACTGGGAATGTAATATAGAATTAAATGCAAATGACTACGTTAATGCAACATTATGATTGAGATATGACACAAACAAATGTCATTAAATTCCAAGTATGGTTCCCACAGCAACTGTAATTCTGCTGCTTTGCACTTTCTGTACATATTATATTGTATTTCTTTGCCATATACTGTGCAGTATTAACTTCACTGTATTTTCGTATATTTGCACTGTGACTGAGTAATGGTTGTTCTGGGAAAACAAACTGAGTTTCTATTTTTTTAATGTAAAATCTCCACAATAATGTTGCCATTTTTTCCCCTATGCTTAATTTCTTTCGTTTTTGCTGGTTTGTTTGGGTTTTTTGAAAGAAGATAGTGTATCATTTCAATGTATATCACATGGCTAGAAGGCATTGCTTTTGCAGGTAAGAATGTTATTGAGCTATGCTCCAAGCCATGAATATGCTTAAATAAATTTTATTTCACTGGATATTAGTCAGCTTGATTTTTTCTTTTTTTTTGCACTTTTGGCCTTTTCCTTCCCAATAACTAAAGCTTGAGCTTTAGTTTCAAACCAAGACAGAGGTCTTAACAGGAAAAAAAATTCATGTGCTGTATCTGTATTTCCACCACATTAACCTGCATGTAAGAAAAGATCTACAAGAACTCAGTTGCTACCCAAGATATCCTCAAAAGCTGTGAGGGCAATTTAAATTTAACTGGTTCATTAAGGAGCAATTTTGTACTGAGTGGCTAATTAACATTCACAAACTCAAATTAATAACAGTTTAAGAGAAAAAGAAATGTCTTGCATGGGTCAATTTTATTTTTCTCAATTTGCTTTAAAATATAGCTTATACATACATTAGTCCAAGAGAAAGACTAACCATATCATACATTACATTTGGTACTTTGTATATATTAGAGTGATACGACTTATAAGGAAAATAGATTAGAAGTTTTAAACAGGCATATTTTCAGAAGGCCTGTGTTAAAATAAACAATTTTATCATTTGAAGAAAGAACCAATTTAAATAATTTTTTGAATTCCAGGAAAGACACATGCATAGTTCTTTGAAAGGTGTCTGGGTAAAAGGGTTTTTTAGAGGCTGGGCGATCACCAACCATATGAAGTTCAGCAGAGGAAAGTGCCTGGGATGGGGCAGCCCTGGATATACGGACAGACTGGGGAATGAGATGCTGGAGAGCAGTGCCAGGAAAAGGACCTGGTGGTCCTGGTCAATGGCAAGTTGAATGTGAGCCAGCAGTGCCCTGGCAGCCAGGAGGGCCAACCCTGCCCTGGGGGCATCAGGGACAGCATGGCCAGCTGGGCAAGGGAGGGGATTGTTCTGCTCTGCTCTGCTCTGGGGGAGCGTCAGCTTGAGTCCCGTTTCGGGTGCCACAATGAAAGAAAGGCATAAAGCTGTTGGGAAGAGCCCAAAGGAGGGACACAGGGTTGGTGAAGGGCCTTGAGAGGAAGCCGCATGAGGAGTGGCTGAGGTCACTTGGCTGGTTCATCCTGGAGAAGAGGAGAGAGAGGGGAGACCTCAGTGCAGTCTACAACTTCCTTGTGAGGAGAAGTTGGTTCAGCAATAGCTTGGAAACTGAATGTACCTCAGCAAAATAAAGGGAAGTTTCTGAAATTTTTAAATTATTGTTTTCAACGTTTTTGCCATATATAGGTTCATTATATCTCCATGTAATTAAGAGGTCTTAGGAAATGTTTCTGAACATCTACTCATGTGGGCTATAATTCTGATAAATCTACAATTTGCTGAAATTCCTGAAAGGCAAGCTCATGATAATGGTGTTTTATAGACAAAAGAGCTCATAGTGGACAATATTTGCCCTGGAGTGCTTCCCTAAAATGCCCTGAAATGCTTCTTAATTTTCCATTTCAGAGCTTACCTATGAAGAAAGTGAGAAAAAGAGAAAAAAAGTGTTTCTCAAACTGTGGTAACTTGTGCTTTACACTAGTCTGAGTATATAAACTATCTCAGTGTATAGGGGCAGAAACGAATAAGCAAGTAAGACACAGATAAACTGAACCACAAGATTTTGAAGACAGTAGCATGACATAGTTTAGAAAACAAATTACTGAGATATTATGAATGTCAGTTTGGTTTAGCCAATTTGAGATTCTGATAATTGTTTTAATAATTCTGTTCTGAGTAGCTTTTCAAATCCAATAAAATTATCTATATTTTATTTCAAATTCTTGCCCATGGCAGACCTTGAATAATATTTCTAAGGAAATGAATATTATGTATTATTTAAATAAATAATTATATTCAGTTGAAAGCAAACCTG